GCATTGGAGCAAATAGAGTTTGAGATGAAGGCCCACGACTTTTCCACCAAATAAGGGCATACCAGCTAGAATGACCCCAATTAGATAGGATAGAGGAAAAGTTAGAGAGTGCACATATACTCATTGATTTTTGCTAGACTAAGTTTCATGACCTTGTAACCTTTTTCATTCCTTATTTTTACGAAATTGAAAATGTAACCAAATAGGCCCCTCAATGTAATTACTTATTTATTTATTAAAATATGGGTTTCTCTTTTCAAATTTCATGGTTTTTACTTGCCAATATGCATGCCCTTAATTTCAAAACTCATTAACATATTAGCAAATACTGGTTTCAAAGTAACCCATTCATTTCGAAGCCAAGTCAAGCATTTCGAAGCACACTTTTTCTCCTCAAAAGGTAGCAAAATGTTCATTCGAAGGAAATTTTCTTGGTAGAAAGTCCAAACATGTGCTTTTAAGACCATTAAAGTTAAAATATGGGTTTCTCTTTTCTAGTTTCATGGTTTGTACTTGCTAATCTGTAGGCCCTTAATCTCAAAACTCATTAACATATTAGCAAATACTGGCTTCGAAGTAACCCATTCACTTCGAGGCCAAGTCAATCATTTCGAAGCACACTTTCCCTCCTCAAAAGGTAGCAAAATATTCCTTCAGAGGAAATTTTCTTGGTAGAAAGTCCAAAAATGTGCTTTCAAGACCTTTGAAATGTTAAATAGGTCCTAACTCCATATGGGTCAAATAAAACCCAAATAGATTGGAACTACTTGGCCCATTAGGTTGAATGGGCAACTTAGACAAGAAGGTATAAAGCCCTAATTCTCGTACTCTTACCTATTCACTTGTCCTTTTTAACTTTTACTCACATTTGCTCTTACTTTAGCTCTTGTTCCTCCTACCCTTGCTCTTACTTCTTCAATCCCTCTTTTAACTCTCATCAATGGCTACTTCTTCCTCTTCAAACCTACCAGTCGCCGAACGTCTTCGTCCCTCGGTGGCTTTAAGGAGATGTATAAATGAAGAAATAGCCAAGTAAAATAAACTAGAGGGCTACGGTGCAATCAATGGAAGGTACTTCATCCCTCGCCACCACGCAAAAGGGGAGTATATCCTTGGCCCTATTTTCACTAAGGCTCCAGCTGCACTTCCCCTCTTGTACCCACGCTTAGAGGATTATTACCTTCTTTACGAAGGGAAGTTCAACTAGGGAGGTTAGAGGGCCACTCAACTCCATCACTATTGGCCCGCATTGAAGACAAAATGAGAGGAATGGTATGACAGAGTCGTTGAGGCTAGAGAACATGACCTAGAGGATCTATGTATTCTTGATGCCCTTCGACTTTCCAGGTTCATAAATCCTGAAGGTCATTTCCTTATCCTAGTTGTTCTTTGTTTTTAGAACTCTATTTTTAACTTTTTTCAATTTCGGTGTGGTATGATGGCCTCCACCGTTCTCAATATGTGGCATCTTTTAGGGCTCTCACCCATTGGTGACCCCTTTGGTCCTAATTACCCAGACCTTACAGTTTAATTCTCTGTTCCTACTTCGAATCGTTCTTATAGTGATTTTATAGAAGCTGAGAACAATAAGGAAAGTTCTGTGACCGACCGAGAATTCTTTTTTTTTTTTTTATTCTTTATGGCTTTGCAAGTTTATTTTTTGTGCCGCTTCCTGAAAAATAATGCCTGAATTTATCCCTCTTGCCAAGGCTCTGGCTTCGAAGAAGAGGATAACCTTGGCCCTTTATGTTTTGGGCATGCATATTAGGTTTGTTCCCAATTTTGTGAGAGGCCTCTAGAGCCTAACCAAGGAGGCCCTATTTGGGTTCTCCAACTATGGATTTTTGCTTACTTTACTGACTTTCACTCTCGCTACCTTAAATTCTTGGTGTAAGAACCCACCATCTACAGAGAAAAGTATGGCAGAGTTTCTTTGTACCCTTCCAGTTTTGCATACTATTTTTCTTACTTCCACCACCTACTAGCCTCCATTTGCCCTTCAATCTTCTGCTCTTTCGATGCTAATGTGGGGCTAGCATGGTTGTGGGCCTTCTTAGCTGATACCACATGTTCCAGGCCTATTCATAAGGAGATATGGGCCTCAATTTTAATTCCAAGGGGGCTCTTCATTGATAACCTAAACCCTAGGGCCTACAAGTGCATTGCTAAGGCTTACTGCCCTGCCCAATTTGCAAGGCTATTTGGGCTTACTCAGGGCAACCTCTCTAACTTTGATCTTGATACCATAAATTTGAAGGTGCCAAAATCCATGCTAGATAAATCAATGATTAAGGTTGTAAAGAACTTCTCTAGCTTCGAATTCATGCCCTTCACTGGTCATAATTGGGTCAGGTAAAGATTTCAAGATTGGTGGACAGCCAACATGGAAGTGTAGCTTGCAACTCTTACCATGGATTTTCTAAAAGAGTTGGATGTGCCATCCCAAGGTAGGCAAGCCAAAGCCAAGGAGGTTGGCATCGCCATTACTTTCATCCCTACTGTTTTAGTCCCTTTGCTCAGAATTACTAGGGCTGCTATTAAGAAAGGTACATGCCTTACCTCTCCATTTACTTTTCTTTTCCCCTTTTATACTTTTCTTATCCTCAGTGCTTCTTTTTGCTGGTATAGGGGCTTCGTAGGAGACCTCACCTCAGCGAGCACAAGCCTTTGTCGCATTGAAGGGCAAACAGCAAGATTTAAAGAAAAGAAAGTCCCAACTCATGCTTGAGCCTGTAGAAGAGGCACTTGGAGTCTGTTTAGAAGAAGATGATGAAGAGAAAAAAGAGTCTCCCCTAAAAAAGAGAAAGATGCCAGCCTCACCTACTGCCAAACTTATCATGGATTTTGCTCATGAAGCAGCAAACAAGGCAGTAGAGAAGGAATAAGCCAAAGAGGTTATTGTGTTTCAGAGATTAGAGAAAAAGATAAAACAGAGAATCTTAAATGAGGAGGCTGCTACTATTGTAGCACAAAAAGAGGCTGCAAGAAAAAACAGAGCTGCTAAACATGAAACTCTTCACAACTCTCCAACTACCACTACTACATCTACTAGTAATTCTCTTCAGTCCTTCATGATGCCCTTTGTCTTTTATATCCTTTATGTTAACACTGCCCTTGTACTTTTTTCCTTTGAAATGCAGCAGTAACTAGCTTGTTCCTCCTCTATTCAATGCCAGCTTCTTTTTCTTTGGGGAGAATTGAAAGGCCACCTTTAAGTCCCACAGAATTAGAAATCTTAAAGGGAAAAAGAAAAACAGACACCAGCTTCCCAATGAGTGAAGGGCCCCTGCAAATAATACTCTCAATCCTTGTCTCTACACTCTTTATAGCTTCTTCCTTAATTCCTTCGAGGCTTGATATACCAATCATTCTCTCCTCCCTATCTCCTAGCACTGCTGAGTTTCTTAGTTTGCCATTGGTGTCCATTGCCTCACCTTTGCGTGCTTCCCTATCCTTCAGAGTCCTGGTTACCCCATTGCTTTTTTAGAGTACCCTTGTCGCCACTCTTGCTTCAGTGACAACTAGTACTTCTAAGGGTGGCACTGGTGGCACATTAATACTTCCTCCACTACCCAGCTCCGACCCCACTTCCTTAGACTTGCTGGTGGCCAAGACCATGGATGTTACTGAGGCATCTTCCTCTTCTTCTCCCGTACCAATTCTTCCAGCACTTTCTTTCACAAGTGACCCTTTTACAATGCCCTTTTCAGAAGAGGAGATGAACATTTTCGAAGCCTAGTTGGCGAGCTTATTTGATACATCTACATTAGCTCTACCAACTGACAGTGATACTGAGCCATTGGACTTAGCTAACTCTTTACTGGAGATAATTAAAAGCTCATCTATTGCTGAGTCCATTTCCCTTCCTCAAGTAGACTTGGGCACCTGCTTAGAGCTAATGAGGACCTTCTCAAGGATTCTATTCGAGGCTTTGCAGAAACCAATCATCAAGAATGAATTCCTCAAATATTGCCAGCTCCTCGATCAGTCTAATTTTGCCTTTAAAGGCCATTTAACTCAAGTAGTAGCAACCATTGACTTTTATGTCAATATCTGCCAAATGGCTAAGGTTGCAGAGAAGGAATTGTTAAAAGATAAGGAGTTTGTCTCCCACATTCACTCTGAAGTTTCAGTGCTAAAGGGAGAACACTTATCTGCCTCACAACTTCAGGCTCAACTTTTGCATAGGAAAGCAAAATTGGAGAATGAGCTAGTAGCAGTCAATCTAGCTTTAGAGCAGAATGCAGAAAGGTTGCACACTACATACCAAGGGCTATCAAGTCACAGGCAAGAAATGAACACTGACATTCAACTGTTCCCATCACTCAAGAGTAGAAAGCGTATTGTAAGGAAACAATTGAAACATTGTAATGAATTTTAGGCCAATTTGTGGCATAATGTACTTAAATTTTTGTGAAATGAAACATCATTATTTTACACAAGTGTTTACTATTTTTACTTAATGTTTCCATATAGTATCTCTAAACTCCCTGCGTCTCCCATACAGTTGGGTAATAAGGTTTCAAATACTTGCCATTAATTTTTTTGGGATGCACATATCCATTTAAAATTTTCAAATAGTAGGCTCCTCCAAGCAAGAGTCTATGGACTTGGTATGGTCCCTCCCAATTAGGTGACCATTTTCCAAACTTGTGATTTTTAATTCTTATTGGAAGTATTGTTTTTCAAACCAAGTCTCCCTCATCAATGTTGATGTGTTAAACCATTTTATTATAACTTTTGGCTGCCTTTTTCTTTTGTAAAAGAATATTATTTAATGCCAAAATTCTGGTTTCATCCACACCTTCTAATTCTAAATGCATGCTTTGATGATACTGATCAGCACTTAGATGGTCTTGGCATTTTACCCTCAAGGACTTGATATTGATCTCCATAGGCAGCACTGCATCATGCCCATATACTAAGGCATAAGGAGTAACTCTTGTACTCGATCTTTAGAAAGTCCTATAAGTCCACAACACATCTGATAACAAGTTGTGTCAATCCCTAGGATTGTCTTCCACAACCTGTTGTATCCCATTCTTCAAGGATTTGTTAGATGACTCTGCTCGAGCATTTGTTTGTGCATAATAGCGGATAGAATCGACAAGGCTAATTCTATACTCTGCTATGAAAGTTTTTACTAGCTTTCCATCAAACATAGTCCCACTGTCCACAGTTATGGTTTGTGGAATACCAAACCTGTAGATTAACTCCTTGATAAAGTCAATTACCTCTGGTTTGATCTATAGTTTTATAACGCTTAGATTCAACCCACTTAGTAAAGTAATCAGTGGCCACTAGAATGAAACAATGTTGCTTTGAAGAAGGTGGGTAAATTTTCCCTATCATGTCCATTGTCCACCCTCTAAATGGCCAAGGCTTTACCACTGCATGTAGATAAGTTATTGGAACATGCCTTATCATGCCATGCTTCTAACATGCTTGGCAACCCTTTGCATACTCTATGCAACCCTTAAGGATAGTTGGCCAATAATAAGAATGTCTTCGAAGCAACCACCTCATCTTAATATTAGGCTGATGAGCACCACGAATACCTTCATGTACCTCAGCCATGACATTTAATGCCTCTTTTAGTCCTAGGCACTCAACAGAAGGCCATCTGCTTCTCTTTTATAAAGAGGATTCCCCTATACTATGAATTACATTGACTGTAGTTTAAGCTTTCTACTAGCCTTTAAAGAAGGGCAACTTAAATACTGAATGATTGGATGTCACTAATCCTATTTTTCCAAGTCATGCTGATTAGCTTCTACCAATATATCTCGCTTTGCTAAAGGTGATGCTAGCTTCTGATATGTTGCTTGACTCATATCTACTTGAGTATAATCCCTTCTTTTGAAATTCGAAGCCTTCTGGGCCACATCATTGGCCTTATGGTTCATGAATCTTAAGATGTAAGTCACATTTTCCATTTAGAAGTGGGAAAACAAATGTATATCAGCAGCATAGTATAGTAATAGGCTTGCACTTTGATATTTAAAAACTCTTTTTACTTGATTAATTACCAATTGAAAATCTCCAAATATGTCAACTACATGAGCCTGTAAGCTAATAAATATCCCAAGTCCTATAATCAAAGCTTTCTACTCAGCTTGATTATTGAAATAGGTGGTCTCATGAATTCTGAAACCATGTGTGGTTCCTATCCCCTGTGGCGACTTAATTACAATACTAATTCCCACTACACCATTAGCTTTGACCCATCAAATCACATGTCATGGTTCTAAATCAAATGTGTCAAGTTCCATTATTTCTTGACTTTCTGTTTGACATGGATGATTAGCTAAGAAGTTAGCCAACACCTGACCTTTTATTGCCTTTTGGGGGACATATTCTAAATGGAACTCTGACAAAGCTAGAATCCATATGTCAATTCTTCCTCTTAATATAGGTCTAGAGAACATATATTTAACCAAATCTGTGGTTGCAATTTCCAAGACAATAGTAGGCAAAAAATAATATCTTAATTTTATTGTTGCAAAGTACAAGGCTAAACACAGCTTCTCTATAGGTGAGTATTTACATTCACAAGAATTTAAAAATTTATTAAGGTAATAGACTGCTTTCTCCTTGCCTGCTTCATTGTCTTGGGCCAAGAAGACTCCCAATGATTCTTCAGTTGCAGCAATATATAACTTCAAGGGTTTGTCATTCCTTGGTGGTATCGGCACTAGAGGCTTGGCCAAATAAGCTTTTATTCCTTTGAAAACAGCTTGATGCCCTGCTATCTACATAAACTCTTCTTCATTTTTAACTTCAACAAAGAAGAAAAAACTTTAGTTTTCCCAGCAATATTAGAAATAAACCTTCAAAGAAAGTTAACCTGACTAAGAAATTTTTGCAATTATTTATTACTTGATGAAGGTTTGACCTCAATAATGACTTTGGCTTTGGCTTTGTTCTGATCAATCTGTATTATTTTCTTGTGCACTATATATCCCAAGAAATTTCTAGCTAATACACCAAAAGCACACTTGAGTAGATTGAGCTATAGCTTGAATTTCCTCATACTTTCGAAGGCTGCTGTTAGATGGACTAGATGCTCTTCCATCGACTGAGATTTTGTAAAAATATCATCAATGTAACCTCCGATGAGATCATGGAAGATAGTGTTCATTGCCCTTTGATATATTGCTCTAATATTCTTCAACCAAAATGGCATCTTAACCCATTTGAAGGTTCTAATATTTCCAGGACACCTAAAAGCTGTCTTGTGAATATTTTCATCTACTATGCATATTTGGTTGTAGCCAGAGTGTCCATCCATCATAGACAAGATTTTATGTCCTGCCGAACTATCTACCAGCAAATTGACTACAGGCATGGGGGTACTCATCCTTTGAAGTTTCCAAATTCATATTGGAGAAGTCAATGCATACCCTCAATTTGCCATTCTTCTTTATCACAGGCACAATATTGGATAGCCATTCAACATATTTGGCTGTTCTAATAAAACCTGCTTTGAGGAGCCTAGCAATCTCCTAATTTACATTCTGAACCACCTCAGGACTTATTTGTCTAGGTTTTTGCTTGTATGACTTAAAGTTTGGCTTGACTAGAAGCCTATGTTCCACTAATGACCTGTCCAATCCAAGTATATCATTGTACAACCAAACAAAATAGTCCTTATATTGTTTTAGGACAGCCAATAAGTGGTCCCTGGCAATGGGATCCAACCATGCACTGATGTAGGTAGGTTGTTGTACTAAGGCTTCTCTTAGATTAACTTCTTCTAAAGGGTCTTGTATCCGAGTACTTACCAATGCTTCTCTTTCAAGTTCTTCTAGCTTTGAAACAACTTTTTCCTCTTGATCCACCACAACCCATCCTGGTTCAACATCTTTATTTTCCTCTTTATAAACAAAGTTTGTCCATACAGCTTCTTCTTCTTGAATTTCCTGGACTTTAGTCTCAATATCCAATACACAATACTTGTTCAGAGCCAATGATTTAGCTTCCTTTTGTTCAGGTCGGCAACCAAGCATCCTAGCTTCCTTCTCTTCTTTCTAGACTTTCTGGACTATTGCATCAATGTCCAATGTAAAGAACTTGACTAAAGCCAATGGTCTGGCTTCTCGATCCTCTTGCCTGCTATCAAGCATTATTGGTATCTTTGATGATTTACTCATCATTAGCACTTTCTTGCACTGAGTGTTTCAAGTGTGCCATTTCCTCATCAGCCGTTACTTCGACTGTTATATCAGGCTTCCTTAGCACACAAAGTGGAACCACCCCCTCAATGTATAGTTTTGCTTCTGCGAAATCTGTACATGCAATGAAAGGCTGTGGGTCTGCATTTATTTCTTCTGTCTCTCCATTACTCAGGGTTATCATCACTTTTTGATGTAGAGAGGAAGGCAAACATTTGTTGGTGTGAATCTAATCTCTACCAAGTAAGGCATTGTACTTGGCATTGTTGTCTATGACAAAGAAAGTAGTCATGCAGTCTCTTGTCCCCACACTTAGATTGATGAGCAATATGTCCTGAGCCATCTGGTTATATACAGCAAAGCCAGCAATGATTGTGCTTGTTAGGATTAACCTGGGGTTCTTCTTACCCAACTTCCTCAAGGATGAGTGACGAAGCAAATTTATTGCTGCCCTATTATCCACCAAAACCCTATTCATTTTTACCCCATCAAAATATGCCTTGATGTACAGAGGCTTAACATGCTAAGTCATAGATACGATGGGATATTCGAAAGAATATGACAAGGTAACTATACTTACCTCTTCATTCTCTTCATCACTTTTCATGGGTTTGGACAATGCAGACTCATCCTGGATTATGTTGGTCTGTGAGTCCTCACTGGAGACTTCTATAGGACCATTCTCCTAACCATCATGATTCTCTTCTTCAGTTTGAAACTCCTGAAGCAGTACATAGACCGTATTGATTGGCATTGAAGAAAATGAGCCAAACTATAGCACTGACTGTAGTTGCTCCCCCTTTATGTTGGTCTGACCTGATGCATGCGATGCATCTTTCATGATGCACTCTAGAAACTCTAAGTTAGTAGGCTTCTTTGTATCAGTTTGTTGTTGATTTATCATGAATACAAACTCTATTTGTTCAGTCATGAAGGCTTTGAATATCTCTTCCTCAGCTAATATCCACTCATGGCCAGGCTCAGTTCTTTCAATTGTTTTAGTCTCATCATCACTCTCTAACAAGGCTTTTTTGAGGCCTACCAAACTTGATTTTTCTTTGGCTTTTAGCTTAGCATGAACCTCAACCAATTTTTTCTACTGGTTTGATTCATGTTGGTCTTGGGAGCAGGCTTTAAACTTCATTCTTCTCCCGATTGTCCTTCTAGTTGTACCAAAGAGGCATATTTACCCGCTTCTTCTAAGTCATTTTGATATTGTGTAAACCTTCATTGGATCTTTCTCCTCTAGGATTTAGAGATCACAGGGACCATGTCTGGTTCTTTTGTCTTTGGGTTTTTGAGTAAAATCCAGTTGTTTGGAGCCACCAAAGGAGGCTTGATCATTTTGTCCTTACCTACAAAGGCTCTTCCCTGGATTGGTATCATTTTAGGTTTGTTTTGTATGACAAACCAGTTTGGTACTCCTGATACCTATGAACCCACCATGCCAGTAGTTGTGCCTACTGTTCTTATCTTTGAAGGCCAATCATTGGCCTTGGTTCCTTATCTTGAGCCTAATTCAGGCTTACTTACAGGCTTGTTGATCATCTTATAGTAGTTTGGTGGCTTTCTTTCATACAAAGGCCTCTTACCCCTTGATTAATTCCTGGTTTTTGGTGGCACAACCAAAAATGACTGTTGCCTAGGACCACTTGGGTAAACCTTCTTATGGGTACTGGTTGCCCTACGCTCTTTCTGTATGTCCTTGTAATACTACTTTCCATTAATTCGAAACCCTTTCAGCCATTTATAACTCAATCTGCACCTTGGACACATCCGCTACATTACTGCTGCTTCGAGTGAATCATCATCCAAAGTGTTGGTTTCTTCGTTGGAGCCAACCTCCTGGCCTACGAAGCTCTTTCCACTTGCTGGTGAGCGTTGAGTAGCCTTTCTAAAGGTTACTTGACTGGCAACATGCATATGCACATTAACTTCATCTAGCTCCTTCAAAGAATAGCTCTTTTCCACAGTATGGGCAAGAAAGTCTAGCACACCAACATTGGTTGCTACTTCTTTGATCTCAGGAAATGGATTATGTCAATTCCCATTGCCTTTTCTGCTTTGGCCAGAAGCTTTAACCTTCATTTCTGAATTTGCCCTTGAATTTTGTCTTGAAAAATGATACAGTTTTTAGTTGAGTAAGACCAAGAGTCATGCCATTTGTCATGCATTTTGCCTTTAATTTCTTCTGAAGTTGGGATTTTAACCCCCTTAGGCAATTTTAGAAACTGTGTTACTAGCAAATGATCAAATATTTCATCTGGTTTTGATACATCAAAAGAATATTTATTATGTAGGTCTTTCTTTTTAAATTGATGATCAATAGTTGTATCGTTTTGGACTAATGCTTCGCAGGTCACAGGCTCATTTCCTATAACCTCTGCTACATCAATTTCAAAGTTAGGGTCCCTGTAATAAGTCCTATAAGATGCATTACCACGATTTTGTTCTTCTTCAAGGAGAGTTTCATATCTAGTGACCTCATAAGTTAGTTCTACTAGGTTTATTGAGTCAAACTTTTTTCGAAGCCTAAACTCTAGCCCATTTTGGGCTAACCTCACAAATTCAGGTTCAGGCAATATGAACCTACATTTGTTTCATGCTCTTTTAAATCTAGCAATGAATTGAGTAGCCTTCTTAGCAGGCCTTTGGCTCAACTTTGCCAAGTCTGCCATAGATATTTCAGGCTTTGTTTGAAAAAATTGGGCATGAAACACTTCTTCTATTTATTGCCAAGTCTAAATAGAACCAGGTGTAAGGTTTGTATACCACAAAAAGGCTGCCTCAGTTAAAGAATTTGGAAAGAGTCTTAACTTCATATAGTCATTGTTGGTAAATTCACCACATTGCCCTGCAAATTTTGCAATATGTTCAACAATTGATTGATTTCCATTCTCATAAAAAAGGACAAAGTCTGGTATCTTATACCTCTTTGGGTATTTATGTAACCAATCTATCCATTCTAGGTAAGGTTTTCTGTAAACAAGGGTCTAGATCCCCCGGGCAATTTGGTCCCTAGGTACAAATTTGGTCCCTAGTGTCACGACCCAAACCCGCCCCTATGGGTTTAGTACCGTAACCGGCCAGTAATCCGAGATTACCGAAGGCTTGCTTAACAGTAGGATAATAATACAGAGTACAGGGGCTGGCATAAGCCAATACAGTAAATAAACAATGTCTAATGAGCTGTGACAGTCCGTATGCAAAAGACTTTTTCATACACATATACATGAACAGTACAGAACAGTATGTACATTTTAACAATCATTCAGTTCAGGGACCTAATCCCTATTAAACAGTACGGTAACAGTCTATACAGTTATACAAAACAGATACAGAGACAGACGGGGAAATTAAAACACCCCTAAGCCATAACTTGGCAGGCTCAGAACCTTGCAGTGAGGCACAGTGGTTGGCTTGACAAAACTAGAGCTTAACCCCGACGCTTCTAGCCACGGTTTAGTGCCTGTACACCTACATATATATATGAGTAGTGAGCTAAAGCCCAGTGAATAACGTAATGCGTAAAGAGGTTAAGAATGAATGTCCTTACAGTAATGAAAACAATTTGTTAATTCAATATATCAGTCATTCAGTCATATGTGGTACATCCATTAGCATAACAGTACAGTAAACAGTAGGTCTTAAAAGACCGAACAGTAAATAATGGCTATCAATAAGTAAACAGTAGTGGTTCCAACAAGGGAACCGACAAAGATTTCTGTAACAGTAACAGTAAACAGTAGTTGCTAAAGATGCCACAATACAGTTCAGAATATAGGACATACATTCATTCAATTAACAGTATCAGTTCAGAAAGTAGTACAGTTCAATTGTTCAGAAGATAATCATTTTGAACATATCTTTACACAGTTGTTACTCACAGAGTTCTGGGCTACAGTAAAGCTCGAGCACATCCCCAGTCACCAACCCTACACAGTTACAGATTGAACACACAATAAGCTACACAGTTGGGAAAGATAATAACTTAATTCCTAATTTGCCTCGATGTGTTCTACATCTATATCCTCATTAAGATGTCTTAAACTAGGCCTAAGAATGCCTAGGATGGAATGAGGATGCAAAGATGCATTCAGAAAACATTTTCAGAATTTTCAGAAAACAGAGGTCCCGCTCAAGCGTAGGTTTACACGCTCGAGCGAACATGCAG